CGAGTATCGAGAATGTAGTATAGGAAAGTTGATTGTAAGAAATGAAGGAATAGACATATTGAAAACCACGACTTGATATTACGATTGAAGATCCTCAAGTCTAAGATTAAGTTAGTTTAGTTTACGCAATGTAATTGTTTTTTTTTTTTTTTATCAATGTAATTAAAATTTCATATTATACATTTTATATAAAAAACAATAAAATTTTATATAATTATACTCTCTTTAATAATAGACTCTGTAAAATGATATGCGTTGAACAGCTTAACGAAAAGGCGTGAGGAGAAATGAGAGAAATATGTATATGGGAATGAAAGAGTAGAAGTTGAGTAGGCTATATATAAACTCATGCGGATTATTTCCCTCATAGTTTCTCATTTTATCTTGCATAGCCGATGTATTCGTACTAGAATTCTATTTACTATTTACGTCTCATGACGTCGTTCACAATACATACCTATTTATTATTTAAGCGTACTCACTACGACACATACATTAGCGATAATTTATTGTACATAAAATATCCTTTTTATAAAAATATTATCTATAAAATACCCTTTCCATACTGAGTTAGTTTATAACAAATTTCATTCATTTTACTCGATAAACAATTTGGACAAACAATTTATTTCGATAAACAATTTGGAAAAGTTTTAACGAGAATCCTTGAAAAATTGTCGATCTTCGTCCTTTTTGCCATCCATTTTACTTGAGAATCCTTTTGAATTTTGAATCGAAGATACGTTTCTTGCCAAACGAAAAGTTTCAATAAGATTCGACGGGTTCTTCTCGGTTAAACTGGTGCACCATAGCAAGCTTTCGCGAATACGCTGCATCGAGTCAGTGCGCACCTCTCACAAGAATAGAAACGTAGTCTGCATGCTAGTGGGTGAACTCTTGAGGCATATCAGATTTTAGACTTCCTTTTCCGTGTCGATGATCGCTTTCCCACGAAAGATTCTTCGGTAATTTAACTAGCTGCGAAATTCGAGCTCAGTGCTCTGAATCTTTTTATTTCCTTTCTTCGGATTCTTAATAATATTACTTTTTTTTTTTCTTTCCCCTTCTTCATAGAATTATCATTCGTTAATGACGATAACTTGAGAAAATTTTATTTTCTATCCTTGTACAAAGGATCCAATTCAGATTACTTATTTGTTATTATTTCTTACTTATTCAATATTATTCATAAATAACTCGGAGATTTTTGACTTACTTTTATATATGAGCCGTTGATTTTGAAAGTGGGGCAAGAGCCTTGTTTTTTATTTTCTTTTTTTGTGTTTTTTTTTTGTTTTTATAAATAAAAACACAAATTTTATGATGTTAATTTGCAATTAACTTTAACTAGTTTTTTTTCACAAAATGGATTTGCCCCACTTTCGAAACTAACGGCTTATATATACATATATATATATATATATATTTTTTTCTTTTTATAATCGTGATCGTCCTTAAATTGAAAGATTTTCTATCTTTATCGAACCAAGGCAGCGAAATTCAAATACGAACTTTTATCGTTCGAGCTAACATCGATCAATACTAGTCAAGTACTCGTCAGAGTTTTTCCTCCCTATGAAATGCACTCGATCTCTTCTGTCTGATGTCTTGTTGATTTTCAAGGATTTGCAGAAGAGGAAGGCGAAGATTGAGAAGCCTGAACTTACCATGCGTATCTACGCTTTCGTAAAAGCGAGGAACTTCGTTTAAGTATACATATATACACTGGTGATGCTTTAAATTTGACATTTTTCAGTACATACGTTTGAGAAATTTATAAAAAAAAATTTTCCTCTCCATATGTCTCTCTCTCTCTCTCTCTCTTTCTCTCACTCTCTCTTTCTCTTTTATATTCATGAAACTTAGTTAGCTTTCATCGCGAACGACAACTTCATAGCGTAATAGAGAGAAAAATATCACGTTTTGTTTATCGACACTGTATTTATGAAGAGGAATATAATGGAATTTTTTTTTTTTATTTTTATTTCTCTCTTTCTCTAGTATCTTCATGAATTCAATCGTAATTGGTTCCAATCATGTGAAATTCGGTAAATGTATATATGCAGAGAATTGGAAAAACAATAAATATTAAAAATACATAGTCATTAATATGTTATCGTTATATTCGATGACAATTTTCGATCGAATACTTTCGTGGTTATTCATTTTATTTAAATTTTGTAAAAAATTTCTAACGCAGGATCGATAAAGTTGAAAATGTATAAATATTGATTTTTATGTAGAGACGTATTTTTTGATAAAATTTGATTTCGTTGACAAGAATATTTTCGCCTTCCTTTTTTATTTTTTTTTTTTTTTTGTTGCGCACGAGATCCAAAATACGAGTAGGTACACTTTCCAACATTTGGTCTGTCAAGCGAAATTGGATTTTTCCTCTTCATGATACTTCCTCTCTGGTATTTTAAATCATTTGCCAATGTTTTGGTTTTATTATTGAAAATCATGGCCTTGATAAAAGAGGGATTAAACATTGTGAAATCGAAGAGATGTCACAAAAGTTATCCTGTATGATGAAGACCTTTTTGGAATATTAAAGGAACTATTAAATTTTATTCAACAGACAGAAGCCAAATGTAACTTTATGAATTTTACGACGAATTGAAATAGTATAGTTTCTCTCTTCATCTCGAAATCTCACATTTTGTGTAGACATTTTCGCAAAAGTTTTGATTTCGTGTAAACACAATAGAGCATGTTAATTAATGAGAGAATTAGACAGTTTGTTTGCCTCCTCTCTTTTTCCTATTCTACTTTACCCTTTTCTAGTTCGGTTCGTCAGCTTAAATTCATACGTCTATCAAGTTTTACCATTTTTGTTTTCACTCGAGCATCATCTTTTTTACTCATAGATCCTTGAATCATAATTTTCAGGATGTTCTTTCGTACCGCTAGCAAATTTTTCTACTCCTCTTTTATATTTTTAGATCTTTTAATAACTCACTTTTTTTTTTTATTTATCTCAGAAACGCTTGTACAGAATGTAATCTCATTCGTCAAAGTTTGCGAATTAGCCCGGAACGCAGCATACGTGAGAGATTGCTTACGTTCAAAGCTTTCGACCAAGTTTTTGTATGTCTTGTATGTAGGTACGCGATATAACTTCTCACCCGTTAGTCGCTTCTTAACTTCATTAATACGTTCCTTTTGTTCGGTTGTTTAGTTTAACGAACAATTCGACATTCTACAACTCCGTTTTAATGCCGTTAGATTAGACGTCTCCGTTTTCCGTACAAATGCTCTCGTTAAAACGTTGCTTTTGTTAAAAGGATTTTTCGAACAAAAGGTGCGTTATTAATGAAACAAGAGCGATTTAAACGGTCGATTAATAAAATTACGTGAAACGAAATCAAATTTCGTAATTATTATAAATATATACGATAACATAATGTTATTCGTTATATCGTATTATTAAAAATTTTCTCAAAATCGCTAACGTGATTTGTAATTTTCATGGATAACGAACGTGAGTCGTTTCATATACAATACGAGTTGTATTTCATAGTATTATAACATTCGTCAGAGGTTCATGGATCCTTTATAATACTATTGAGACTCTGACAATCAACGTGTCACGCTCGTGAAACGTTCCGTGAACGCTGAAGATGTCTAACATGAATGCTATACGCGTGACGTGCTATCCTCTCGTATTCGATTGCTTGAGAGTATATCGACTACACACATATGTATGCATTGGTAAAGTACGTGAGCACGTGCGCATATATACAAACGTAGTCGCATAGAAACATCTACCTATTTATATGAATCGCGTGCGACGAGTAAATGCTTACGTAGGAACTACTATATAATTATGTACTCGTCATCGACTAAACGATTTCGATTTTCTTTGATCAGGTTGACTTATACAATATATTTTTAATATGCCATTAATACATATGTATTCAATATATTTTAATATAATTATATTAATGATTATAACTTCAATAATTATAATTGCTAAATATTTGAGATTCAATAATGTATATTATTCTATTCGATGAAAGTTGGAATATTTGATTAGTCTACTCATATAGTAATTCATTAATTACTATTACTTTCTTTTAAATTAATAAAAGATGAGGATATTTGAAAAAGGTTTTAATGAAATAATAATGAAATACTATTAACGAATACGGAAGAGTGATAAAATAACTAATGAATAGATTAGAATAGTATAATTTATGGACAATACTATTTTTCCATTCGTCAATTTTAATCTGTTTTTCTTATGCAATCGATTTACTTAGATTTAGAGATCGGTCCGGATTTAAGAGATTTCTTTAGACGAGTAAAGGAATGAGAAAGAGAGAGAAAGGAATATATAAGTCGTTCTTTGTACAATCCGCCTTCTACTTTTCTCTTCTTATTTCTTCTTATTCTTCTTACTTCTTCTACCTCGGCTAGTCCCATCGTTTTATCTCTTGAGGCTTTCTCAGCGATTAAACGTGGCAAAAGAGATTGAACGTGGCAAAGAAAAAGTGGAGGAAAGAGGGAAGGACGGACAAAAAAAAAAGAAAGAAAGTAAGGCGTAACCGTAGTTTCGTAAGATTTTTTATCCTCCTTCGACGTTCGTTTCATATATCTCCAAAAATATATTCGTAACTATATAAGGATGCGAAAGCGTATCTATCAAAGTAATGTAAGGAATTCAGCAGAGAATTGGAAATAAAATAAGACTACCTGCCATTCAATTTCTTCTTCTTTCCTTTTTATTATTCATTCGTCATAGAATTCTACAAATATAATATTTTTTTAATCGGCAGTCCTCTTTCTTTCTTTCTTTCTTTCTTTTTTTTTTCTTTTCAAATATTTTCCAAAAGTTTTTACAATACATTAATTCTACATAAATCTACATGAAAAGCGGTCATTAATCGAATTGACCTGTTACGACATTCTTGCGTTCCGGGTCCGTTAGATTAGAATTTTCTATATCGTGTCGAGAACGAATTTGGTATAACAAGTTTCTATCGTTTATTTTCCAGAACACGCGGCCTGAAACTGAAAGCGTGACTTATGAACGCCAACCGAGATAAAGGATCTTGATACGAATTTGTTGGAGCTTGGCTTTTACGTAAGTAGTTCAAGGATAATATAAAATTTACGCATATACTAAATATTCATATTCGTGATATTGATCCCAATTATACTAACTATAATTATACTACATACCGAAAGATATAAAAAAGAAAAATCTTTTTCAAACGATTTCCTAAAGTTTTTATTAATTAATTTCATATACCTTTTAATTATGTAGGTCGGTTTAACGATATTAGGGAATTCATGCGTTTGATGATTACAAATATGTTTCTATGAATCGGATGCAATGAGAGCTGTTCTTCTTATCTTGAATTTTTTACCGAGAAATATTTGATCAACGTTTTCCCTGTCTCAGAACGTCAACGGAGAATTCGATAAGCGATAACTCAAGAAGATAGGAAGAGGGTAGCGATATCGGTGAATTTATATATTTGATTTCACGCGCTTATCTTTATTTTATTACGGACTACTATCGGCTACAATAGTTCAATAGTAGATATTTTTATCGACTACGAGAGATCTTTATTTCTTTCGGATAAGCATACTCATATTCCATTATCGTATACTGACATGTTGTTTTTGAAGTAAAGTAACATAACAAAAATAGGTGGACGATTGTTTCAGTTTGAAAAATATTTTATCGACAGATCGACGATAGAGTTAATTAAAACTGTCAAATTGTATACACAGGCATTGAAAACGTTAACTTAATCAATATGAATTTCAAAGATAATCGGCTATCGATCGTATTTTATATTCAAATATGAGGAACTAGAAAGCTTACACTTGCGAAACCATTAAAATTTTATATCCAATCGATTGAAAAGATTTATTCCTTTTCAGTTGTTTCCATCGAAAACCACCGTGCGCAGAAAAATATCGATATTAATGTTGAATGCTGGTGCTTTGGAAAAATAAAAAGAATGGTAGTATGGCAAGAGGGAAGGGGAGGAGTATAGAGAGAGAGAAAGAGAGAGAAAAAGAGAGAGAGAGGGAGAGAGAGAGTTTTCTCTAGTTCTCCCATCTCTTTCTGTCGTTTTACAAAATTCTTGATAGAATACGAATTACGATTGTTACTCGGATTTCTCTCTCTCTCTCTCTCTCTCTCTCTCTCTCTCTCTCTCTCTGTTGCTTTCTCTTATAACGTTCATGTTACCAAACGAAACGCAAAGCACACGCGGTGCACACGAAAAGGGGAATCGCGTTCCTTGTTGCATTTAAAGGAGGTCGATTGATTCCATATTCTTCGAAAAGCACGGGATCGCACATTTAAAGTGGAAACTAAATTTTTAATCGGTTCTCTGTGGTATTTATATTTGTATTTTTACGTATTTAGTTATACTTTTTTGCGCGTTTAATTGATTATATATATAATAAATAAACTGACGTATTTCTGTAGCGAAATAAAACAATTCCTTCTCTCTTATTTGTATAGAAAATAATCAATAATTACGAATAGTATCAATATACATATGCTATAGGATATATTTAGTGTTGCCAAGTAAATAACAAAAATAGCTGAGCCATGCTTAAAATCAACAAACGACTACAAAGCATAAAAATATATTGTTATATTTTCTTATTTGTGTCTGTGATCATTATGCAACGAGTAACCCGGTTCAACGTGCCCGCAACACATTTCAGAAAACAGGTAGATGCAGAAGAACGAAGACCTTTCAGTTTCGTAATTGTCGATTCGACATTATGAAATCATAATTAATGTGAAATGTCAAAATTATTGTTTTGTCGTAATAGCAGATGAATCAGATAATATAATTTTCTTTTTTATGTCAATTTCATTATCATAATAATTTATGATAGATAATCGTGAAAGAGCGCTTTAAGTTTTTTCCATGGATAAATTCATGAGTTTTCTATAAAAATTAATGGATGAATATGGATGGAGTAAACGGAATGAATAATGGATTCATGATCAAAGCTCTAAAGTGCGAAAGAGTAATGCAGTGCATCGAAATCGTGTTAAAAAAAAAAAAAGATCAAAAAGAAATTATCCAGAAGGAAATTAGCAGGTGCGAAGCGATAAATTTCTCAATTGTTCCGAATACAAACAATCCTCTGTTAACATCTTAATCCTTCGAAGTCGGGAAAGGAAGACGTTTAATTTCAACCTTATTCGTACAAAGATTTTGTGCCGATCAATAATATCTAAATAAAAGTTTGATAAATGATTTCTACGTCGATGTTATCGAATGCAGGAATTTATTCATTTTATTTGAAAATATCAAAAACCGACGAAAAAGTTTAACACAATGATAAAAATAGATAATGATTATAAAATTGACGAATATTTCCCACGTTTGTAGCTTGTTTAGTATCACGGCAACATATCCTTATTAGGTGTAACGTAATGCACGAGGGACCCTTGATAACGGCTCGAAAATAGCAGTCCAAATTCGTCATGGCCAGTAATTTTGCTGTCTGAAAAGAGGGATAGAGAAAGAGAGTTAGAGTGAGAATAAAAAGAGAGAGTGTAGAGGGATAAGAGGTAGATGAGCTACGCGACGACTATGGCGGATACTGACATCTCTTCCCCCTTAACTCGACAGTGTTTTCGAGCGGGCCGACAATTTATTTTCATTTGCGTTCTACTTACATACTCGTGCGAGCGTATGCAACGAGTCAAACATCGTGTCAAGTAGGATGCTAATACTGGAAAAGCTCGTCTATTTGTATTACGCACCGTTGCCGCTCAAATCTCGCTTCCGCTTAGCGAGACGTTACCTGCGGTAGCTACTCTCGATGAAAGCTTAAGCTAATTTCTCCGGATGAGATGAATGGTACAACGTTCGTAACATGACTTCCTGCTATTACTATCACTAACATTATTTCAATTTCTCATGTGCGAGTTGTACAATTTAAATGTTCATTTCGTTCCAAATTCTTACTGTTTTATTGTTCTTTTTCAATGCAACATATCGGCTTTTCATTACCATTTTGATCATTCGACGATCATATCGCATCCGAGAACGTCATCTATTATCGTCGACCACATTAACCACCACGTTCATCGATATCCGAACCGGGCATACTGTTCTATCCGTGAATTTTCAATCGATCGCTCCATTGCTGCTGTCGTACCAAATTGTCGATTGTGTCGTTTTGGACGATTCGTAAAATATTGAAGCATACGTAAGTTGAACTATATCATATCTATACTCAATTTGAAATCAAAGCGACAATACTCTTGTGTTTCAAATAATTGGAAAGGATGGAAGGAACGATAACGATCAAAGGAAAGGACACCGTAAGTTCTCTATAGTTTCGACAGTAGCACATTTCGAGCAAGATCTTCCCGTGGAATTTGATTAGCATATCAGCACACAGGTGCACGAAGGCTTCAGTCGGGAGGTTCCTAGAGCGCGTGGCACCCATTCTACGGGTTTGGACGAGCTAATTGGCAAGCCGAATTCGCACCTCGAAATACCTTCATGATGTAGTTGCTCTCTCTGTATGTTCTCTCTCTCTCTCTCTCTCTCTCTCTCTCTCTCTCTCTCTCTCTCTCTTTCTCCCCATCTCTCTTCATGTACCATGTAGGCTTCATGTTTCATGTAGGCTTCGCTGCGCTACTACACGCACCATTGCACGATCAGAATTCGACCATTTGGCCATTGATCTTCCACTTCTCTGTTTAACTGTTTCTCTTTCCTTCTCTTTCTCTCTCTCTCTCTCTCTCTCTAATTATTTATCTATCTATCTATTTATCTATCTATCTATCTATCTATCTATCTATCTATCTATCCATCTCTTACTTCACTTCACAATTAACTCTATCATCGTATTAAATTCTTTCTATTACCATACGAACTAGACATGGCTAAGTCGCTTTAAAGAAAATACATTTTGAATAGCTGGAAGTACTTCACTGGTCATTGTTTATTTGCGTTCGAAACGACTCTGAAAGATCCACAGCCTGAATTCAGAGTAGCGAAAAGCGGGATAGTCCGTTTCGAAAGTCCATTTGGTAAAGCCAATGACTATCGAGCCGGCACGATTTTCAACAACGAGAGAATAGCGGATTCGCGTCAGCGAATCGAATTTATATCAAGAGGTATTATAGCACGATATATCTATACTTTTGCGCCTTTTCACTTAAATTCGGCACATCCTGCTTTTCATTTGTAGAGAATAAAAATGCGAGAAGAACGGATACTTAGCGAGATAAAATATTCATATAATTAATTTTAAAGGAGAAGGAGAAAAATATTTTTTTTTAAGAGGTTTTTTTTAATATTTGAATAATAAAAAATTAAACAAGAACGAAAAATAAAAAACAGAGAGAGAGAGAGAGAGAGAGACATTAAAACCTTATAAATTACTACGACTGTTTATCGTGAAGAGTTCTTTCTGATTGGTCGTTGAGTTATACAGGTACCATAGTTACACGTTTTAATAAGGCCAAAGTAAAAAAAAGAAAAAAAGGGGAAAAGGAAAAAAAAGAGAAATAAAAGAAAGAAAAAAAAGAAAATTCTGCATCATCCACCAAGTTCTTTATGAAACTTTATGAGCCTCATAATGACGCACAGGCGCATCTAGATTTTTACGAACGCGCTGCATCATGAATACTCCGGACCGTGATTAATCAGGTTCAAAGTTTTGAAACGAACGCTTCTTGAATACGATAAAAAAGGAAATGAAGAAGTAGAAAAGATCGACCGTGAATAAGACGTTGCAAAATTTCTTACAAACTGTCTTCGTTAAGTATTCAATGCTTTCTTTTTTCCTCACAACGTCCCTTTCGTTCATTAAGTTAAGAGGGAGGTATACAAGAAATTATTTTTCTTAGTTACCGTTTCAGAAATTATTACGATGTATTTATTTACGTTACTTATTGTGACATTTTTTTACTATTTCTCGAATGTTCGCATCTCTTCTATCATTCGTATATTTTCATAATTTGTGTAAGCGAGGATGCAACAAGCGAAGAATAGCTAATATTAAATTCATTTAACCGTGTCATGTGCGAATCAATGAACCGAGTAATGCGAAAACGGTCACCGTTAAATCTGATCGATA